GATTTTTACTTAAAAGACTGCTTATGAATAGAGGAGCCCTTACTGATCRTAAAATAACCTAAAGTATGTTGAAGGTTAACTGATGTGTCATAGTCTCAAGAGTTTTAGCTCCCATCCAGTGGCAGTAAGACACAGCCAAGGGCCCTTCAACTTTTCAAAGTAAAACCCATGAAACAGAAAAAGCCCTYGCTGTCATGTCACAAAAGACAATATCTATATCAGCAAATTTTCAGTAGAATGCAGAAGGAATCCACTCTACAACTTTACAGATTCAATGGGGAGTATTTTCTGTGAGCATCTAACCAAAAATAAAGATTCTGAAGCTTAAAAAAACTATAAATATCCAACTACTTTAAGTTAAAAGCAGCTTAATCCAGTGTTTGCAGGATACCTCAAAACCCCAGAGGCTCATGGGCCACCATTTATCTAGTAAATCTGATTTATACAGAAATTTATACAGAAATTAGGCTCTGATCACATGTACTGTACATGTAAAGATGGAGATAATTAATCTCTCTTATTCAAGCAAAGGAGGCCTGTGAAGTTTTGAATCAAAGGTGGCATACCTTTCACCTCACAACAACCCCTTTGGGAATTCAATGTAGTTAAGTGCAGTCATGCATCTGTGACATCAAAAATAATCTACTACAAGAAAAAGCAGAAATTTCAAGTCACAAAAGTTTTTAGAATTTTCCAGACTTACTGGGAAAAGGAACTTTCATGTCTGCATGCAACATTTCAATGAGCTGTGCAGTCTTTGATCCAGGGGCAGCACACATATCTAGAATCTACAAACATAAAAAAGTTTTATATAGTCCTGCCTTGTACTTTCTAAGTACTTAAGAAATTGACTGAGTTCTTGTTTAAATTAAGTATTTCTGAATATGCAGAATTATGATTGTTCTGGACACCAAAAAAACAAAGTACAATCCTATTCCTGTATGCTTTATCTTTGAGGGTCGAAAATAAAAAAAGAGCTTTGTAGGGAACAAAAGCATCAGCTGAAATAAAATTCGAAAAAGGAACCTGAAATTAGATATTGAGATATGATTCTTTTACCAATTCCAACTGAAGTTAACTGGAACTTTACATACACACACACACACATATTAAAGACAATGTTACGTTTAAGAGCTAGTAGTACTTTTCTTTAAACTATTAATAAATTAAGATAGTTGTTTATACAGATTTTGTAAGAATTAATTGCTCTCCCTACCAAAACATTTACATTTCAATGCAAAAAAATCAGTATCTCTCCTGTCTCTTTATTTTGGAAGAAGCACTTGGGAAGTGTTTGAACTGCCCTGAGGCAGCTAAACAGAAGAAGAGACACCAGCACCTAGGCTAGTGTATTTCTCTCTCTTCGTTTACCACCAACTTGCTTGTGAGTCATTGGTAGAGTCACTTTCACAGCAAACCAACTGACATCTCACACTGTTCTCTTAAGCAAGGAAGCTCAGTCTTTCCTCTTGCCTAGCTACTGATTTTCAGAAACATATGTCTATCTCCTGGACCTTTGGCTCCAGTAAAAATCAGCTGAAATCGTGCAACAGCAAGAAGGATGGGAATGAACTGCTCAGATCTTCATGCAAGCTTCTGGCATGAACAAGACTAAACCAGAAGACAGCCCTAGAGAAACACAGGGAGCTTCAGAGAGCATGTGGAAGGGCTGTCATGCAGCAGTGTTGATGCATCATGAAACACACCCTGCAAGACAGTACCAGATCTGCTGTTTAATGCAAGAGTTGTGATGCTACTGGTTTCTCTTTTGCAGATAATGCAAAAGATAATGAAGAATATGCAAGCCTAAACGTGCTCTAAAACTGTCTAGCAAACTGATGGTGGGGGAWAATTAAATTGTGAAAAACAGATTAAAAATGAACACAGCTACAGGAAGGTTTGACAATCATTAATTTGATCCGTGTGGAAAATGGAATCAGCATGTTAGACATGACATACAGAACATGCTTGTTAAGCATAAAAAGTAACCTGCAATTCTTGTCCTAACAAGCAGCTCAGAAACTAAGGCACTAAAGACTGTAAAAGATCCTAAATGTTGAGTCAGGGCATCATTACATCATTAAACATTTGCTGTTTTGGCAAAAGAGAGGATAAGGAACCTATTCTTAGTCTCATTAATGAGCAAATTTGTGACATCTTACACGCATTTCTGTAACATGCTGAAATATTCACCCAAATTAAACATTCAATGTAAAACCTGTACACTGCAACTTTGCATATACAATGTAAGGCATGARCAAAAATATTCCCACAATTTGCGTTTTACATTAAAACACATGTGTCCACTACCTGTTCAATTCCAGACAAAAATCAAAATGCAGCTGTGAMACATCAGGACTTTTATTTACTRTTCACTTAGATGAGAAGCCCATGTSTCACATAAAATAGTCATAGCTTTCATACACTGGATTGGGTTGAAAGTAGAAGAAATCARGTTGAAAAGATATGTATGCTAAGTAAYGTCAATATAAAAAMAAGTATGTACAAACTAGTCTTTAARAATATGCCAGAAGTGTGAAAATTTAAGAAAGAAAAATACAATGAAGCTGCTTGAGATAGCAAGACAACTGCTCATTAATTTAACAGACTAAGAGAGTAAGCCCACCTAACAGATTCAGTCTGCAAACAAGCAGAGAGTATGAAAACATCACAAGTCAGAACAGAAAGTTTGCTAACAGATATCCTCACTCCTACAATGTGCCACAAGAAAGTATCGTGAGCGCTCCTTACACACTTTAGCTAAAGCTGGCACCCCATGGTTTCCAGTCACCAGGACGAACATGTCTCAGCTCACCCAAAATATTCTGCCTATCAGATTTATAGAGTAGAAATTTTCAGCTTCTTCAAAAAGCACAGAGGAGTGAAATCTACCGGGTAGAGAATACTATCACTTGCATCTTGAAAACTAAATCTCTTCACACTGTGATGGAGAGAGGAAGTTAAAAACATCATCTTAAAAGCAGGTTGAAACAAGAATACATAATTCAGATGCAGCTAAACACACTTACACTTTGAAACCAAGACTATGAAACGACTTAAAACCTAAGTGGTTTTTGCAGGGTATTACATACAGCTGAAAAAGAAGATGTTCTTCTGATAGTGTATTTGTGAATTGACCATTAGTTGAGTGTTGCTGTTGATGTGCAGAAAGCACAAAATATAACACAAAACAAAACTGTGTATCAGCCTTGGTACTGCTATTGTTATTTGTAGTTTAATTAAGCTAATTTCAGGAAAAAAACTTCAGTGCACATTATATTATAGATTTACCTTATGATGAGGACTAACGTTAAGCAGCAGAGGTGGGATCATACTAACAGCCTCCTGACGACTGATATTTCCCTTGAAAGGAAAAAAGAGATTAAATTTCTTTTTATTCCAGGAAACAATAATTTCTTCTGCAATAAAACTTTTAAATTGCTACGTAGTAAAATAATAAAGCATTCAGAAATGCACTGTTATAAACTTAGGATTAAATTTTGTTAGAATTTAATTTAAAAAAAAACCCACAGTATTTCACCCAACAGTAATTTCTAATAATAGCGTATTTACTCCATTTGTATTAATTCTGTAGTTTCTGCTCAAAAGAGAGAAATGGCTCCAATCAAGCAACAAACATCCACCACTTAAGTGTTGTCATGCATATGCATGCACCAGATTTAAACAGTTGGTTTCTAACAGCAATTAATTATTTTACACGGACTGATTTAAACATCCCCAAGCAACAAAAAAGAAATGTAATTAGTTTAGGAAAAATATTTGTGACTGCAGTTATGCACAGAACCATGGGATTCATCACTCCCAACTGCAACACAAAATCCATATTCTTCTGAGCTACTCAACCAATGAGAAAAAAGGTACAGTCTTCATCTTTCATAATGTATTTCAGTAAAGCATTGCTCAGAATATAAAACAAAAAAATCAAGATGGATCCAAAACTTACACATTCYGTCTCGCTAACCAGAAACTGATGAAACTTCTCCAGCTGTGGGGACTTCCGCAAGATTTTTCTACTCAAGTTAGTGTGCCAGGCTAACTCTTCAGGATACCTGGGGGAAAAGAGATGGGAAAAGGACAGAGGCAGAAGAAAGAGACCTATGAGTTAGGATGGATGCCGGGAAATGCAAAATGCTTTACCTCGTTTCCAGGTCACTCACCAGCTCAGCGACTGYGGCATCTCGACTTTTTGGCCATCCACCTCCAGGTCCTGCAGCTCTCGGAAGTACTTTTCCTTCAAGCAATGGAGAATCTCTTTGGCGTGGCTGCATGCGAGAGACACGCGGATGGTGAATCACAGGATGGTTTGGTTTGGAAGGGGCTTTAAAGATGGTGCAGTTCCACTCCCCAGCCGTGGGCAGGACACCTCCCCAGTGCCAGCGCCCGGTGCGGAGCGCGGCCCGCGGGAGCCCCCGGCCCGTACCTGCGGTAGCCGGTGATGCGCAGCGTGGCGGGCAGCGGCTCCCGCAGCGCCGCCATGAACGCGTCCCACTCTCCGGCGGGCACGATGCCCAGCTCCCGGTAGTACCGCTCGAACAGCTCGTTCTCCTTCACGATCTCGGGGTAGCCGCCAGCCCAGCCCTGAAAAAAAGCGCCACCGCCGCCGTCAGCCCGGCGGCCCCGGCGCTCCCCGCCCCGCTGCACCTCACCCGGCCCGGCTCTCACCGCCTGGTCCCCGCCGCCGCCGCCCCGCTCCTGCCGCTCCTGCCGCTCCTGCCGCTGCTGTTGCTGCCGCCGGCGGTCCCGCGCCCTGCGGCCCATGGCAGCCAGGCGGCGGCCGAGCCGCGCCACCAGCCCCGCCGTAGGGAAGGCCGGCCGCTCCCGCTCCCGCTCCCGCTCCCGTTCCCGATCCCGATCGGCCGGAGGCACCGCGCGGCTGCCGCGTGCTCCCGGCGCGCACGCGCGGACCCGCCCTCTCCCGGCGGAACTTCCCGAGCGCCCGGCGCGGCCCCTCCCAGAGCGGGCGGGCCTGGGGCGGGGGGCGGTGCCGGCCACACCTCCGGCCGCCACCGGCGCTGCCGGATGAACCGAGGCGGCGGAGCGCGATGGAGCTCGGCGGTGACGGCGGTGTGTGCGCGTTGCTGCGCCAGGTCGAGGGCCCCGCGGAGCGGCGGCTGCTGGAGTTCTCCTCCTATGGAATGATTGCGCTGGGCGCCGTCTCCGCGCTGCTGCTCCGCTTCATCCCCATGCCCTACGGCCGGTACTCCTCGCGGCGCTACGGCTGGCTGCTGCCCGCCCGCCTCGCCTGGGCGCTGCAGGAGCTGCCCTCACTGCTCGTCCCGCTCGGGCTCGTTGCCTGCGGCGGGGCGGTCGCGGCCGCCCGGCCCAACCGTGTGCTGCTGGGCTGCTTCCTCCTGCACTACGCGCACAGGTGCGGGCTCGGGCGAGCGSCGCCGCCCGCGGGCACCGGCGGGGCTGGGGCGGCTGGCGGGGGCTCCCTGCGGCGATGGGGGCAGGAGAAGGGATCAGTCTTCCTAGAGATGCCTGACTGCTGCTTCCCGACAGAAGGGGTTGAAGTTCTCCTGTTAATTAGCGTTTTTTGCTTACTATAATAGTCGCTGATGTCTCTCCTGCTTCGCCTCATTAAGGTATTCTGTGTTGTTACGGTAGCTGGGTAAATGGCCGGGGCCATGCCGTGCTGGCTGTGTTGTGTGTGCTTTGCTGTGCCCTGCGATGCTCCGGTGGAAACGGMGCTCCTGTCGCTCCTGCAGCGTTCCGCTCCATCCTGCGCTGCTCCTGTGCCTCGTGGTGACTCTTGATTCAGCAAAGGATTGACAGGCTATCTTAAGGGCATAGGGTTACAGCAAGGAAAGTTCAGCACCGTGTACTGATACAATCTTGGTATTGTTAACGAATAGCTATTTTCCAATTCTGTCGTTCGACATTGTCTTTCGACATTGTCTTTCAACATAGTGTTCGTTGCAGGAGTTGGACTGGATGAGACTTGTGTGTCTCCTCCAGCTCAGTATATTCAGTGATTCATTAAGACACTGGCAAAGCTGATGACGGATGCTCTGTGTTGCCAGGTAGTCAACAGTATTCAGGCATTTTGTAAATATTCTTGGAGAAAGCAGCTTAACTGGAGCTCATATGTGGTCTTGCTGTTCAAGTTAAGGACGGTAGCTACTGGTCATACTCCACAAGTAGTTTTGCCACCTTACGAAGACAGGAGCAATAGATCTGTCAGGTTAATTTTAAGCCATTAATTTTAAGCAATAGATCTGTCAGGTTTATTTTGTGTGGCTGATACGTTGTTATTTTCTGGTGCTTATTGAGAAAAGCTCTTGCTTTCCACCAAACGTTTTCCACAGCCTCGTGGTGGGGAGGTGTATGTCCTATGGCTGACCTGGTGGCTGCCTTTGAAAACCCAGAACTATGTCTTTGCTCCGCTTTTTACTGTTCTGAAGCGTAAAGATATTAGCTTTGACATGGGATCTTTAGTCATCTTTGATGTCTGGGAATAGTTAGGAATGCAAGCAGTGGTTTGTACAGGAAATTGAGCTGTGCTGTGGTTTGCTTCTTTCCAATTGCTTGTTGCTATTGCCAAACTGAAGGATTCTTCTGTGGGTGAACACAGACTGGAAGAGACCTCTGGTATCTAGTTCTGTTTGTGGTAGTGTAGCATGCTTTAAATAATCCTATTAATTAATTGGTTACTCTTTCTTTAGAGCTGTTATGGTTGGATTTCTTTGGAAAGGTTATTTTGAAGCAGTAGTCCTTGAGTAGATGGAAAACACGTGAAGAATTCTCGGGCTTCAGTGATCCTGCTTCTGTATCATTATAGATTATAATTGAATTGTTGGCCACTGGGAGTTGGCTAGTTCCACAAGAAAGAGCAAAAGAACGTTCACCTGCTCTTCTTGTTTGGATCTAGTTTGTTTACTTGCATAATCCCCCAGGAAAAGCAATCAAGATGCCTTTCCCAAATGACATGACAATTGTGGGTTTGGCACCTCTTTAGCAGGTGTCATAGAGTAGACCAAAATTGTTGAGGTGAAGCAATAATGTTTTGACTTACAGGGTAGAGAGGAAATGAGCTCAGGTTAATTTCAAGGGGATTGACTTTCGCTCTAGAAGTACTAGGGGATTTGGTGGAGGGATCTTAAGACCTGGCTCATTTCAGAAAGCTTGGTTATATAACTGAGGATTTAGAGACAAAAGAGAACATCAATGGGCTGTGCTTAATATCAATTGCCTTTATTCCTCTCACCAAAGAAATTGGTCTGGATCAAAAGTTCAAAATTTCCATCATATGGTAGAGAGGACTGATCTTGTAATTCCAATTAAGCAACAAAATGAATGTTTTGGGTGTTACAGCAGGGGCAACTATCAAACAGGCACCAAGGACTGGTACTGRGAATTTGAAAAGTAGTGACAGTGTTTGGACTTCAAAACTGTCTTTTTTTTGTGGTTAATACAATAAATTTTCTTTTCTTGGTTTGCTATAGAGCGCTCATATTTCCTTTGCTGATCCGTCAAGGAAAACCAACACCGTTTTTCACCTTTGTGTTAGCACTTCTGTTYTGTGTTTTCAATGGATACTTGCAGGGCCGAAGCTTGACCAACTATGCAACCTACCCTCCAGGCTGGTTGGCAGACTCACGCTTCATTATAGGTGAGTTAAATCATTTTATGAGGACATCAGGTATAATTTTCGTCTGTCTCCATAGCTCTTAATTTTTTTATTGTGATTTTACAGTATCTTCAATGCCATTATATAATTCTTCTCATAATTTTCTTATTGGTGTAGCTGGAGGCCTTTTAACCTTTTTCACTTTAGAACTGTGAACTGGCACTTCTTTCTGCAATGTCAGTGATATATGAGCTGACTATCATCTTTACTCTTTAACACCCACATAAGTATGGATCTTGTAATTTTTTTCAGTATACAAACTTGAAGCCCTACATGGAACCAGCAGCATGCAGGTTTGCAACAAGCAAAGTAGATTTAATCTGTAACATGTAGATTAAACTAAAGTGAACAAATTCATGGAGTAAAAAATCTAGCACAGGTAGCTGTTGACTACCAACATACCATGGCGAGTGGCACAAGTCCTTGGTATTATAATWCTTACACGTGATACGCACACACAGGCACCAAGACATCTGCCCCTGCAATAAGGATGGGATTTGTCAGATGACAATACTGGCCCCACGAGGAAGGGGTGGAGGGGTTAATCATTCACTCCCGATAGGGAAATGAGGTTACATTTGTACTTGAAGCCATTGATACAATTAAAAGGCCAAGATACTTAATGGAAAAGTATTCTCTTTACCCTATTTTTTTTTGTTTCTTAGACATCTACTTTTGCCTTTCTTTAAATTAGGAAATGATAGTATCATTTCCCAATTAAATTTTTACAGAAGGATCATTTTCATCTGAAGATAAACCAGAATTATTTTGCCTTATCAGTCAAAGGTGGAGCMCTGGAATCTGTAGATTTTTGATCTGAGTCAGCACCCTTCCTGTTGTTATTCTGTAGCCAGAGCAAGTTAGTGTTTCTCCTGGATTTCTCAAGCGTTTCACAGCAAGAAAAGGATTTTTTTTTTGTCTTTATTACAGTATTATTGGGGATTACAATAGAGGACAACTGTGCTAAATGCTGTCATGAATATAAGGTTGAAGAAATTTACATCTAAGTAGATTCTTCTGCCTAGATTAGGAGGCAGTGCTGCTTGTGYGCTGAAAATAGAGAAATTGGGGTGCAATGGAATGACTTCAGAGGGTGCTAGAATATATTTGAATTTTCTTGGTGCTTTCAAATTTCCGATCAACTTAAAAATTGTAATCCAGAAAAAAAAAAAAAAAAAAAAAGGTTAAAAAGTTCATCAAATCCGTTGAAGATTCTGATGCCAGGCAGACTTTGTTTTTAGAGTCCTAGTTCAGTACCTTAATCAAAAGATATCTCAATACAATGCTGTGAAATCACGATTAAGCGGCCATAAGTCAGTTCCATTCACACAACTATSTTAAAAAAAACCAAAACCAAACCCAAGTTAATAAGACTTGTTGCTTAGGTTCACTTGTTAGTTTTTGTTTGTTTTTTTTTTTTTAAGTTTCAAGGATTTCTGATGCAAATGTAAAATGACAATAGTTAGGTTCAGCTGCCTTCAGTTATGAATGCTTCTGTGTATGAATTAGTTTGGTTTGTATTTGTGTTTTTTTTGTTGTGGGTTTCTTTGTTTGCTTTTTTTTCCAAATAATATTAGCTTGAAATTAGCAAGCTGTATATATTTTGATTACTGCTAAACATAAGTGTTGCTTTGGTGACAAATGTAAGTYAAAATAGTGCTTTAAAAAGTTATCCTARAAACTAAGAAAGTGAAGATTCCTGRTACACATAGCAACCACTTTAATAGTGTGACCATTGCTTTTGAGACTGTAGTTACAACAAATCTGGACATAAATTTTAGCATGCACATTCAACAGCTAAACTGAAGACTTTTTTTGCTTTTTTTATTCCTGTAATTAGAATATCTTTTGGGATTTTTTTTTTTGTTTTGTAATGCATATCAACATAATTGGATCTTAGAAAATTTTAATTGCTATTTGGTATTCACCCCAGCTGGGCACCTCTGAATATTTGCTGGTTATGCTTGTGGCTTTAGTCAACATAAATGCCAAAGTGATTGTGTATTGTACACTGAGTACTTCCTGAACAACTGGACTATTWTGTTCTAGTACTTAAAAAATATCTGACGTTGTCTTTAAGCTTCTGTTTAAAATTACAAAAAATTACTAAAAAATATTTACTAGAAAATAACAATGGCAAGAAAATATATTTGCTGGTAGTTGATAAGATATTTCTTAAACTGTATGAAGTTAAATGTGAAAGATAAATGAGAATGTCTACAAGTAGCAGCCAATMAAGTTTCAATAGCTGGAAGCTGAAATGAGATAAATTTCCAGTGAAGACAGTGATTTGGAGGAGTCAGGCTGATTAACCATCATGGTGACRGGTTTCAAACAACTGATATGTTCTTTGTCTGTGGAACCTTATGATATAGTTTGTCTGTCTGTTTTTGGGAAAACAATAACACCAGCAATTGATTTGAAGTAGGGTTTTSATGTGATTTTTCTCATGGCTTCTCTGGACTGTGTGTTGGTTTAGTTCAGAACAKTGAACATATCTGTTTTCAGAGGAGATGGGAATGTTCTGCTTCAAATGCAGAACCATGAGCCTGCAAACCAAGAAAAACTTCATAATCCTTCAGCATGTACCTTGCCATGTGTATGCCAATAAAGAGCTTACGAACTTACCAAGAGAGCCCGTGATACCATGAAGTAGTGACTGCTACAAAAAGAGACACAAACACCTGTGAGCTGCACCTTTGTGTCCTTTCCTAATGTCTGTGCTTTTAGTTGGAAATTCCTTTCTTCCTTTGCTTGCTTTACCTTCTTCAAACCCTTTGCAGTATGTTATGTGTTTTTTCTTACTCCTTAAAGTCCCTGTTCAGCTATTTCCTTTGAATGCTAATGGCTAACTATTTTGTGCATCAAAACACTTTTTAGTTGCATCTCTGCAAAGCAGAGCAGCACCTGTAGCTCATAAGGTGCAGGTGACAGATCTTCAGCACCTCATCTGTTTCATGAAGCTTTTTATCTGGCAATTGGTTAAGCACACATGCCACCCTCTGCTCGATTCAGAGAGCAGACCTGAAGAGTGCGTGTGCGTTGTCCATATCTGTATATAATCTTATAGGCAAAGCGTGTGGGTTATCACTGTCTCTCCTAATATCAGTAGGCATCTAGATGCTTCAGATGATTGTGTCTTGTTGGAAAGACTAATCAAAGAATCTGAGATAAGKSMCTTATCTCAGACAAAACACAGGTATTACCTGTTCCTTATCAGCAGGGAATGCTGYCGTCAAGGGAACATAGGTAAAAATGCCAAGGGGTAAAAATAATGAATTTCAGTCCTAAATTCCTTTAGATTTATCCCCATCCTCATGGCAACATAAAGATGTAGAATGTGGCAATAATCTCGGTTTCTGTGAAAGGATAGAATAAATGGCTAAACAATTTTGCTGAATAACACAAGTAAATGATACATTAATTCCTTCACAGTTGTATTCCTTTTACTGCACTGAAATATGTTGGGGAAATTCTGATATACTATCAGTAAAAAAGTGAAAGGAGAGTGGGGCTAAGACGTGTCCTTCTGGGAAGATTAAAAATGGCTGTTTCTTTCASTGTTTAAAATTTTAACATATTTGTTTTTCTATGTGGAAGTTAGGGAAATATACACATTACATTTGCATATACGCATATGCATACGTTTTTATGCATCTAGCAACGTAAGAATAAATTTCAGTTTTACAGCTCTCTTTCCTGTCTAGGGAGCTGTTGATTACTGTGATCTCTGCTGACCGAAGAGCACAGTGTGGGACTCAGCAGGATGTCACCAGAGCTGTTTATACTGCTTACATAACTATGGCTTTGAGACAATATGCCTACTGTGATATCTGACTGTAGTTTGTTTTCTGAACAAACCCAATGTGCTAAACATAGTATTTTTAATATTTCTCTTCAGGTTTTTTAGGGTGGTTGATAGGCAAGGCCATCAATATTCATTCTGATGATATCCTCAGAAATCTGAGAAAACCAGGGGAAACTGGTTACAARATACCAAGAGGTAAGTAAAAATGGTATAGAAATTAATACAGCAAAAACAAGTATTTCTCATAGGAGAAGAGGTGGAGAGACCTTGGACTGTTCAGCCTGGAGAAGTGTCAGGGGCATCTTACCAAGATTCATAAATACACAATGGAAGGGAATGAAGAGGGAACCAGACTCTCCTTAGTGATGTGCAGTGACAGGACCAGAGGCAGTGGACATAAAACTCAGGCACATAAAATTATATCTGAACCTTGTTTTTTTTTTAATCTGAGGGTGGTCAAACACACAGGTGTGGAGCAGGTTGCTCAGAGAGATTGTAGGGATATTCAAAACCAGACTGGGTTTAATTTTGGGCCACCTGTTCTGGCCGATCCTGCTTCAACCGTGGGCTGGACAAGATTTTCTCAAGAGATTCCTTCCAACCTAAAATTATTCTGTGTGAAAATGACMTTCTAAAGCTTTTTGTCTACCTTGGGAATTGATTTCATAGTTCGGCAAACATCTTATTTTTTTTCCTCTTAAGCCAAGTATTACAAGGAATCTTTTTCATTATATCACTTGGCTTGTGCAAATCTTTGGCTTTCTTGATCARCTTCAGCTATATCTTTTAAAAAGGGGTAAAAATGTAATGGCATTGCCCAACTTTTCTCAGAATCAACAGGTGGGTGGAGAAGAAAMATCTTAATTATCAACCCAGGGTGGGGACAGGAGGGGATTATAGAAAAGTGCTCAGCATGTGATGCATCTGATGTCCCATATATGAAGTGGGARGTACCTTAAGTAATCAGAGCAGCAACCATTGTGGAAAGGGAGGTGCAGGGAAAAGAGGACAGAAAACCAAATYAATCTGGCATTATGAATTCTGGCCTTCATGGGAAAATGGAGAATATGAAGAGCTTTCTTATGGAGCCCATTGAAATGTTAAGGTTTATTGACACTTTTGGAAACAGCCACTCTTCCAGATACATTACGCTCTCTGAGAGCAGAAAGATAACACTACCTCTGAATTCTGCTGTTTCTCTATATTTTTTCTCTTAGTTGTTGCTTTCTCTGGATTGTTAGGTTTTTTTTTTTCCTTAATGAAACAGGAAGAACTAAGATAGATAACTCAGAACATTACTTTTCATCAATAAGATAACTTATCATTTAGTAGATGTAAACCAAAGTGCTTATGTGAAAAATGAGGATGAACATATTGTATTGTGTTCAGTGTACAAAGAAGTTCTGAAAGAAATATGTTATTTGTTGCAAGATAAGGAGGAGCTGGTCACTTTGAGGTTACTTRTTCAATTTAAGTGCTAGAATTTCATTTTTCTTTTGTCACAAAAGTAATGTAATTATAGCAAGATCGAAACATGTCCTTTATTACAYTTGCCAAAGACTTGTTTGTTTAGTCCCACTGGTAAAGCACATACTGAGATGTTATCCATTTGTACATTGACTTTGGAATTAGGGTGAAATTCTTAATTTGTAAAATTCCTGGCAGGTGAGTACAAATTGTTTATGCACAGTTGTCTATACAACAGACAGCCAATTTTTCCATTGAGTGTAGGGGTTGAAACAGCAGATCTGATGAGGAATTGGAACAAAAGTGCAACAACTTTGTAAGCCAGATAATAAATTTGGATCTTTACTTCATAGTAATAATAATAATAATATTGTTCATAATTAACTGAATTTCAAAAGTGCTTAAATGAAAATTGTAAGCTAAGTAACCCCATGAGTATTTTCTGAGACTCAAGGGGAGTATGTCTTGTATTTTTACATGTCTTTCAAAAAAGCTTAATGTGTGATCGAAGAACCATTTTGATACCATGTTAATTAATTATTTGCAAAGGCATGTACCTGCTTCTGATGCTAGTAAATCTGCATTTYGTTCATTATTTTAAAGAAAAATGGAGCTACTAAAGGTCTGTGTTAGAATAAGGTTTGAAGTGATCCTTCATAGTATAGCTTGAACTGAAAATGCTGCCTCCACTGCCTTTAAAGATTAGAGGCATTGGTGATATAGCATTGGACATCATGATTAAGGTGCTTTTGAAGTAACTCTGTCCTGCTTTCAGGAGGAATGTTTGAGTATGTCAGTGGAGCCAACTTTTTTGGAGAGATCCTGGAATGGTTTGGGTTTGCCCTTGCCTGTTGCACCATTGAAAGCCTTGCATTTGCATTGTGTAGTCTCTTCATCCTGGGTTCAAGGGCAAGACAACACCACAAGTAAGTGTTTGTGTTTTGTCATTTCTGTTGTCTCTGTGCCACACTGCATTTCCATTTCACAAATTATGCCTCATCCTATAGGGATGTTGCAGAGCAAGTCTTGTGAAAGAGATTGATGCTGTAAGGCAGAATACGATAGAGAATACCCTGAGAAGATTAAGCAGTACAGACTTTCAGCAGAAGAGTACAGAGCATAAACACACAGTACAACAAGGTGGTCAAAATAATGTTTAAATGAACATGGTTCATCCTGGATCTGAAAAGATTAGAGACAAGTTTGGCGATATTGTCTTAATTGAATACTACACTTTCCCTTCTCAAACTTTTTCTGTAACAAAATTTTGAAAATCACTCAAGCTGTCTATAACAGAAACACTTTATAGTCTTATCTGTATCATGTTGTCTATAATCAAGTGTTTGGACAGTATGAAAACAGTTCTGGTAGATGATATTAAATAAATTCTCTGCTCTAAACATTCTGACTCCTCATGTACTGTATTCATAATGTGGCTTTCCTGTTAACAAGAAGGACCATAGTTGGGGGAGACTTGTTTCTTGAAAGAATTCCTTTTAAGGAATGTTTAAAAGAATTCCCTTTAAGCATGTTTAAAAGAATTTGAATATGTTAATTTTGTTTTGTTTACTTTCAGCTTCCTGCTTCAGTTCTCATGTTGAAACTTAAAGAATTCCCTTTAAGGAATAGCATGTTTCAAAGAATTTGAACATGCTAATTTTATTTTGCTTACTTTCAGCTTCCTGCTTCAGTTCTCATGTTGAAACTTAAAGAATTCCCTTTAAGGAATAGCATGTTTCAAAGAATTTGAACATGCTAATTTTATTTTGCTTACTTTCAGCTTCCTGCTTTGGTTCTCATGTTGAAACTTAGTGGCATAAGGAAATAAACATGTAATTAAGTAGGAAATTGATTGAAAAAAAATACCATTGCTGACTGTCTGTGAAGGTAGCCATGTCTATGTCTAGTGGAGYCCTGGAAACCTCCACAAACAGAGGTTTTCCTGCCCTTCATTTGTAGGGTATTCCAGGTCTGKATTACCTTCCCAGTGAACCCGCTAWSCAACCTGAGCCTTCCAAACATGTTTCCTCTGACCATCTCTTCCTGTTTAATCACTTGCTATTAGTGAGCAGAGCTGCAGAGTATCTTGAGTTGGGAGGAGCATTTGAAGATTGCCCAGTCAACAATTGGTGTGGCTGCTCCAGCCAGGGCAAATCACAAGGCTATGCCCAGTTGCTCTGGGCTCATCCAATTGAGTTCTGAGTGTCCCCTCCTTGACAGATGAAGCAATGACAGGGTCTTCTGCCTCTCCTTCTATACTATGTTCTTCTGGCTCAAATTTCATSGTTGATTTCCATCAATCTTAAGCCTTGATGGCACTCTTTTGGAGCATCAGGAAAAGCTAAATGTTGTTAAAGGAAGTTATTTGCACTAAAGGAAAAATACATAAAAATGGAAGAGGGGTGGATACAGGGAAAAAAAACCCAAGCAACTAAAAATAGCAAATACATGTAAGTGAAAAAACTGGTTAGTGTAGTTTGTTTAGTTTAAAAAAGTTAGAATAAATTACTGAAATGGGTAAATAGTGTAATGATGGCATTGCATAGRTGCAAGTTTATCATGCATTGCATGTTTTGTCTTGTTCATTCCAGCTTTGATCTTGCAGTTAGCTATAGATATGAATATCTGCACCTTTGAGGAACTCAGGTGAACTTAGTTCTTTTATTTCAGAGAAGAAGAAATATTAAGAAATGGGAGTAAATGTGCTTGTTATGTAGGGTGAAAACACAAAGAATAACATCTGATAGCACTCTGCATTTGTTTTTTTTAAGTTGTCGGCATTTGAAAATAGTGATGGTGGGTGTTAGCAGTAAGTGCAATGTTTCTCATKTTCAGTTTGATTATACAAATTCTAACTGGAACTGAAGATGTTTCTATGCAGAATGGGACTCTCATTCCAGAATGGGAAGTATTCCTATCCCTTGCTTCCAAGTGAAGTCATTATTCAATTACATGTTTTTGATTTATTTTTTTCTCCCTCTAATTCTAAAATGTGTAAATACTCAGAATGTGTAGCAACATACATTTTGAAAGAATGGGCTCTTCCTTCCTTAACTGATCTTACCCCATCTGTTAGTTTGATTTCCCATTGCTGGCAGCTGTAATGTAGTTTTGTTGCAGTTAGTGATTAGATGTCATTAGGGTGAGTGCAGTAAATGCCATTTTTGTATCCAGAGTAGGTTCTAAGGGCTGCTTTTTTTTTTGTTTTGTTTGAAGACAAAAACATGTATGGATTAAACTGATCACATGGTATAATTACTTAATTTCCTCAACAGCATTTTGATGACTCAATTCTCATCAGATTTCTTTGTTTTTCAGATGGTACCTTGAGAAATTTGAAGACTATCCTAAGGACAGAAAAATTGTCATCCCATTTGTGTACTGAGCTGTGCCTTTAACACTTTGAGATGGATGCTTTTAGTAGCAGCCAACATTTTACAGATGTTGGCAGGTTAGCAACATACTCTGATCATCACTGTGACAAAGCCTTTCCATCAGTGCTGCTATTACTTACTGCTTTTTCCTCTTAATGGTAATCCAGAATCTGATGGACATGGTGAATAGGAACCGAAATGCTTTTCCAGCAGTGAAGCACTTTCATAAATACATTAGGCAGTGAGTGTAAATTGGCATTGTGGGAAGTACTGTGCATGACTTCTGATGCTTCTTTTTCTGCCTGTGAGAGCTTCTGCTGTTTCCACTCAATGAAGCCATGCTGTCCTGAGGATTGTGCTGTGAGCTCAGCCACCCTCACTGCAGTCTGGATGGTGTGTTCTGCCTACACACACAAACAGGGTTATTTTACTTGTTTTACCTTGCCTTACTAATCCTTTCCATTCCCCCCACCTGCATTTCYAGAAGAGCTGGTGATGTAGACCAAGGAGTTAGATTAATATAGTTGCTTTTACATGAGAAGCAGTGTTTTTCCTTTTCTTTGCACTCTTAAAAKTGTAGGGACAATGTATAGATAATATTTAATTATATTTACATAAAAGTTGTACTGCTAAGGGATTGATATTGTCATCTACCTCTTAAAATGGATAGCTATTTCAATATGGGATATGTCTTCTCACTCAAAACTGGTTTTGGAAGTCTTTTCTTAGGATACTTAGACAAATCTAGCATTGTTAACAATTGTGTAATGTTTTCTAACTTTATAAAAGATCCTTGACATTTAAAAAAAATTCTTACTATGCTGCTTTTAAAATAATCAAGTGTCTTCCTTCTTCTATTGCTARCATTCTAGATGATTTTAGATTCTAAAATTCTGGAGCCTTGTGTCAGTTCTCATACCCTAACCTTTTACTCAGGGAGGACTCRGGAAGGGTTTCAAGAACATGAAAGAACATTCCAAGCATACAGATTTTCAAGTTACSTCTGCCTTTTGCATGGTTGTGATAACAAAGAATCTTTTAGAAGTCCTGAGACAAAAAAAAAAACCCAAAACCACTCAACAGAGAAGTAAAAGAAAAACCAACCCCACAACAAAAAGCAAAACAACAAAAACCCCTAAGTGAACAACCAAATTACAATAAATTAAAAAAATAAAATAAAACAAACAAACGAGCAACAGCTAAAACAACTTTCCATAAAACCCCAAAACTCTGCTGCTAATATAATTTGGAAATAAATGAAAATCAAACTTTTGTCAAGTGTTTTCTGCTTTGTTTCCACTTTTGTATTGGGTTATGTTCTTCAAAACACATTGGTAATATAATGTTGCCAGATGCTAAGTTTTCCAGTAGGATGTTAGAGTAGTATYTGCTTTGATGAACAGTCGTGATGCTTCCTCCAGAGAGAGAATGGTGAAGAGGTTGATTTACTCCTCTATGCTAAAATGGAATTATTGGACAGCAAAAGTTCAGCTTAAACCATATTCTGAAGATAATTTTAGAATCCTAGTCTTATATATCAGGATTTTCTAAATCGTGTCATCCCTGCAGCATGTTTCAAAATCTTCTTGTCTAAATCATCCACTTACCAAAATCTGTTTTAGTGGAAAAAATACAGGATTCAAAACCCACTATCAATTCGAGGTGTTTAAACACTTGCATAAATTATAGTGAATTAATATCTTCATKGGGTTTGTGTGGCCAGATTTTGGTAGTGAGGGGACTACACGAGTGGCTTCTGTGAGAAGCTGCCAGAAGCTTCCCCTGTGTCTGACAGCACCAATGCCAACTGGTCCCAGGGCTGACCTGCTGCTGGCCAAGGCTGAGCCTGTCAGGAATGACATTAATGTCTCTGATCACATATTTAAAAAAGAAAAACAATGTGTTCTTGAGCAAAGCAACGTCTGTGCAGACACCAAGTGGAAAGGAGAGGGAAGAGGGGCTCCAGGTGCTGAAACTGAGATTCCCCTGCAGGCTGAGGTGAAGCAGCTGCCCCTCTGCAGCCCATACAGAACCATGGAGATGAACAGAGCTACTGCTGCCCATGGATGAGCCCCATGGCTGAGCAGGTGAATGCCTAAGAGGAGGCTGAGAACCCATGGGATGCCTGTGCTRGGGTAGGGTCCTGGCAGGGACCAGTGGAGTGAGCAGCCCATGCTAGAGCAGCTTTTGTGGTGAGACTTGTGATGCTGTGGGGTAAGTGGTGCCTGAAGTACTGACCCCATGGAAGAGTGACCCATGTTGGAGCAGTTCATGAAGAACTGTTGCCCATGGATGGACTCACATTGGAAAAGTTCATGGAGATCTCTCTCCCATGAGGAGCCCTATGGTGGAATAGGAGAAGGAGTCCTCTCYTCAAACAGCAGGAGAAACTCYGGGTTCTGAACTRACCATAACCACCATTCCCTGTCTCCCTATGACACTGGGGTAGAGGTAGTGCTTGGGAAGGTGGGAAAGGTGGAAGGAAGGTGTTTYTAAGATTTACTTGTCCTCTCATCATCCTGCTCTGATTTTGTTAGTAATACAATTCAATTAATATCCCAAATTTGAGTCTGTTTTACCTGTGACAATATTTGATGTGTGTTCTCTCTCAATATTTATCTCAACMCATGAAGCTTTCGCTATCATTTCTCCCCCTTGTTGTGGAGGGGAGTGACAAAGTCACTTTGGTGGACACATGGCATACAGCCATCACAATATCTTGTATCTTCAGGGTTATTTGTTTGAAAATCACTAATGGGACAACCTRCCTGTATAAAAGGTCTGACCACAGCACTTTAGTCTCTAATGTAACACCTTTTCCCCCCCTTTTTTGAAAACGGAAAGATTATTTTAATAATAAAAAATGAAAGAAAGGTCTTAGTGTTCGCTTTGTCTCTATATTTGAGATCTGTAGCTTTTTAGTCAGTAGTCTCATAGGTTACTGAAAATTTGTATGGATGTCTCGATTTTGCTCTGCCACTATAGTAATAAATATTTATGTTGCCTGAAAGTTCAGCTGGTCTGCCCACATAATGTTAATTTATGGTTTTCCTGTAGCAGGATGCAATCTRAAGTGTGATGATCTGATGGCTTATCCCTATTCTCTCTCTTGTTACAGAAGAGGAAAAGCTAAGGTCTGTGGGCTCTGAATGTCAGCATGTTTTGAAATTCTGGTTGATTGGATTAACAAAAAAAAAATCAAACCAGGTGTCTTTGTTCTTTGTATGATTATATTTTATATTCTGATTATACTTCTAGAACCTTCCTGAAGTAAAGTACAGATTTAATTTTAGGCAATTCGTTAGAGCACAAGTCTCATGAGGTAGGGCTGAGGGAGCTGGGGTTGTTTGGCCTGGAGAACAGGAGGCTCAGGGGAAATCTTACTGTCTCTACAACTGCCTGAAAGGAAGTAGTACCCAGGTGGGAATCAGGCTCTTYTCCCAGGTAAAAAGTGATAGAATGAGAGGRAATGGCCTTACCTTGTKCCAGGGGAGGTTTGGATTGGCTGTTATGAAAAAAYTTCTTCACTGAAAGAATTGTCAAACACTGGAACAGGCTGCCCAGGRAAGTGGTGGAGTCATCATCCTTGGAGGTATTTGGAAGGCATGTAGTTGTGGCACRGAGGGACATGGTTTAGTSGTGGACTTGTTAGYGCTGGATTRAAAGTTGGACTCAATGATCTKGGAGGACTTTTCCAATCTAAATGACTCTATGATTCTTCCATTTCAAGACCCAGGTACGTTGGTGACCTGGTCAAATTCATACTTCACTTGTGATCCCTTTTCAGCACCTTTGACAGATTTTTCTGTTGTAACATACCTAATACAGAAAAATTTTCCTTGACAATATGYARTGTGAWSATGARCTCTGTTCTTCCCATTCCAGAGGGRGAAAAGATGCATACCTTCTGATTTATCTAGCAATTTTTAATAGARATACTTCTAGTCACATTGCTACATCTTTCCCCAAAATCCCCTACTAATAAAATATGAGTTACAGTGTCTTGTTTGAATACTTTTTTTCTGTTAGCAATCCCTGCTCCAAGTTGTGAAGTTGACCAAGGCTTTTGTACCTGCAATTTMATTTTCCTAGTTGAGATCTTGGGGGGGTGTAAAAACAAGGTTGGATTAGAATGACTTGGATGCATGTGTGAACTTGATGACATGCACACAAAGCAATTATTAAAAATCACAAGGCAAATATGTCTGGTGATACATTCTTTGTTACGTAAAACAGAATTTATAGCTGAGATGTTCTACCCTTGCAGTTAGAGCAAAAATTAACAGAAGCAGAGGCTCATTTGGGTTCCTCACCTGTTGTTAGGTCACTTTTCCCTTKAAAAAACTGTAGCACGTACTATTTCAACTATATTAATTGTGTTTTAGCACTATAATATCTTTTGGGGAAGTAAAGATCTTGTACAAATGACTTGTCATATAAACTTACATTCTTCCAACAGGCAGGAAATCCTGAGTGCCTTCCACAGTTTTTATACCCTTTYTGTGATTGAAATATATTACTAACTTTAGTATGAGACTATCCCAGCCTGTTTTATGTTCCTCTGTTTTACCACTAACATTTGCAATTGTCAGGGCAGCCTTTCATACATGCATCCATTTGTTGAGGAAAGCAGACCTCAGGGTAAAATTGCACCACTTTTTGCAGTGATGCAACATATCTATCATCATCTATGTGCCCACACAAAAATACACGTAAGCMAGCAATTAATTTCCTGTTGCAGGACAATTAAAGGGCAAAGCCTTAACCAAGATGTGCATCTGAAAGAGTTGCACAACTGAAGCTTGCTCTTGAGCTGCTTAAAACAACATGTTTTTTACATCCCTTGCTTGATTTACCAGGTTTGCTTAAAAATCAAAGCCATTACATGATGCTTTGTTGTGTACAAGTGAATAGTGAAAGCAATAGTTTATTTGCTCGCAGAGACGAAAGAAAACTTAATTCTTGGTAAAACATTTAGTGTAATGCTTCCCTGGTGATCATACATTACCARTGTGCTAGCAAGAGTGTCTCAGTGGTGTTGTTTGACCCTGCTCCCTCTTGTTCTGGAAATATCTGTCCAGTTTCTGAGTGGACATGGGTGGCTGGATCCAAAKAGATGGCACTAGCAAACCCACGAGTTCCAGCTGCTCTGGGAGGGTGCACTTCATTTCTCTTGGGCTATTGAAAGGGAAAACTGGCAAACTTAGTTACAAACTTCTGTCAGAAAAGGAAAAGCTGTGTGATCTGTGAATGGGGACTCAGACATTGAGCAGCATCGTCCAGACTAAAGGGCAGTCCAGTGTAAGCAAGCAAAACCTGCTTCAGGTACCTGCTATCTTTTGTGTCCTACTGACTTCTTCATGGGATTGGAATTTAATCTTTTTAATCCATATCAGTGTGTTGGTGAACAGTCCAAGAGGCTTCCAGTTATGCCCCCACTCCACGTGTTATGTTTGCTGTGGAAGACCAAGAGCCACATGCTATGCAGAGCCAGGGTCCTGCCAATGTGGAAGGAAGGCCAGTGACAAAACAGACCAGTGCAATAACACAGATTTGTAGGATTTTAATGTTTTGCAAAGGCAAATACTTTTCCTCTTTCATTCTCCGCCTGTCTCTTCAAAAAATGGGGACAGTATCAGGAGAGCTGACATGAAAATCTCAAATAGTGAAAGTGTTCAAGTGTTAAAGGAAAGTCATCACAATATACTAACATCAGTAACCAAAGATGAAAATAGTCTTTTTAATGCTTCATATAATCCTTCCAAATGTTACTAGGCCTCAGAAATAAAGAGTATTAGATTAAGCATAATATTTGGTCTAAAAGAGTGTAGTACATGATCATTACTGTTAGAATGAAGTAATACTAGGAAAAGTAGCTTAGAAAGTATGGGTAGCTTGCAGACAGCATATAGCGTAGTCTTATGAATAGAAAGCTAAATGACCAAGAAATAATGAGCTGAATTATTTTCATGAGCAAAAAGAGAACACTRCTCTAATGTGGAGTCCTCCATGAGCTGCAGGTGGATCTCTGCTCCACTACGGATTTTGATGGGCTGCCAGGGAACAGCTGCCTCACCGTGGCCTTCATCACAGACTGCAAGGGAATCTCTGGCAYCTGGAGCATCTCCTYGCCCTTCCTTCCTCATTGACCTTGGTTTCTGCATAGATGTTGCTCCGACATATTCTTTCTCCTCTCTCCACTGGCAGTCACCTAGTTTTTTCCTCCTTTTTAACTGGTATCCCAGCAATGTTACCACCATCACTGCTGGGTTCATCCT